ATTTAAACCTATTTAGTTTAGAAAAACGTCGCCTGAGAGGGGATATGATAACATTATACAAATATATTCGGGGCCAATACAAACCATTGTGTGGAAATCTATTCACAAACCGGACTTTACATAGGACACGAGGCCATGCGTTTAGACTGGAAGAAAGAAGATTTCGTCTAAGGCAAAGGAAAGGTTTTTTTACTGTAAGAACAATCAGGATGTGGAATTCTCTGCCTGAAGAAGTGGTTTTATCAGAGTCCATACAGATGTTCAAACAGCTACTAGATGCATACTTGCAAAAACAGAATATTCAAGGATATAATCTTTCAATGTAGGGTAATAACTGCTTGATCCAAGGATAAATCTGACTGCCATTCTGGGGTCAAGAAGGAATTTTTTTCCTAGCTTGTTGCAAAATTGTGCTTCAAACTGTTTTTTTTTTGCCTTCTTTTGGATCAACAGCAAAAAACAAATGTGAGGAAGGCTGAACTTGATGGACGCAAGTCTCTTTTTAGCTATGTAACTATATAACTATGTAATTTGAAGTTTACTTTGCATTTGCAAACACGTGTGCATACACGATGGTATTTTTGCTAGTGCCTCCAGTGTGTGAATATAGGATGTTTTTATGTAGAATATGTGAGTGCAATTGTGTATGTCCAACTGATTTATCTGTGTGTCCCTTAGCTACCTGTCTCTGTGCCCCCCTGGTTTGCGTCTCTGTATATTCCTGTGGCTGTATCACCCGGATACATGTGTCCCTGTACACCAGTTTTGTTTGTCCCCAACCTTTCGTCCAGGATTTTTGTGCCTATGTAGCATTCTTTCCATATATATTGACAGTGAATTTTGTGAAAATTGTTTAATATGAAAATAATACTATTAAAACTAGTATTGCAATCTGCATCGCTGGAAAAAAGACTGAATAAACCGATTACCGAAAATCTGCACCAATGAAAGTAATGTAAAAGTTAATTAGATTAACAAGTTATGTTGCAGGCAATTACGGGTAACTTTTGGTATAATACAGCAACCCGGTCAGCAAATTAAAGTTCAATGAAAGAAGAATGTTAGCTAAATTCAAACGATAGAAGAGAAATATGGGATTTGAAGTGTCTTGTAGGAGATTGATTTTCTCAAAATGTATATTGGTAATTTAAAATAAAAATTATACTAAACAATATAATTAGATAAATATTTCAAAAGTAAAAAACAAACAAACAAACAAACCGATTTTATTAAATGGATAGGGGCAGTGGAGGGATCCCCTCCAGTGTGTCCATTTGCTCATGCTGTATTGCAGATATATTTTTGGAACATTTTGATTCCCAAATAGTAACATGCATTTATATAAATAAAGTAGCTGTGTTTTATAGTGTTTGAGCATATAATTAATTTCTCTGAAACTAAATAATGCCATATTACTCATAATATATTTCCTATGTTCTTTTTAACCACTTAAGGACACATGACGTGTGACGTGTCATGATTCCCTTTTATTCCAGAAGTTTGGTCCTTAAGGGGTTAAAGAAATGTGTATTTTGAAAAATATAACATAATTATCTGATCTTTATTTTGACCTTACAGACCAAAAACTGTCATTGTAAACCTGAATCTTTAAGTGCCCATAGCAGAACATACTAATTTAAAGGAACATGCCAAGCACCATAACCACTACAGTCCTCTGGAGTGCTTTGGTGTTGTCCCTATGTAATTTATCAAACCATATTAGAGAGGTTTGATAGCTTATTTGGGCCCTACGGGGCTCCACATCTGGTCTCATCCTGCAGGAGAAGCCAAATGTCCCTTTGGAGCAAAGCAAGGCCAATAAAGCATGTCAGTTCTGTCAGATGAACAAGGGGATTTTTAAAAACGGATTCCGAAGGGGTTAATCTATGCAAATGGTGTGTAAAGTTAAATTGCAATATATATTAGCCTTGTGATTGTCTTTAGTACTACTTGAAAATCAGTATAATTCTGAAAAATTAACGGGTTCATTATTTTGTGCCCAAATCTACTTTTATGGTCTAAATAAGCACGTTAGGTTTTTTAAAGACCTCAAAAGTAATTATTTGCCCAAAACTTGAAAATGTGTTTGCTCTGAATAAAAAGAAAAGGGTCTATATAATAATCAGAAAGAACATGTACTGGAAGACTTCAGATGTAGGCCATTTTGCAAAAGTTTCCTGACCTGGCAGCATTTGCCATTCACGATTTAACAGTAATAAAGCTTGTTGTGAAATATATTGAAGATGGTGCATTTGTACATGCTGCCAGGCATCCTTAGGGTCTTTTCCAGTATATTGTTTAGCTGGATTAAGGGGCAGATGTCACCTTATAGGCATGGCCATGCAGGACCACACATTAGCTGAGGGAGTCAACTGCAAACTCACAGCCAACGAGCACAAACATGTATCAGCTGTGCTTAGTTCTCTACAGCAGGTTGTAGTTTTTATGGTGTTTGCAGCGTTCATTTAAGAAAATATATAGGTTATCTTATATTTTATCTAATAGTGTATGTTCCAGAGAAGTCATGCTTCCCCTTCAACCCTTTATGGACCAAACTTCTGGAATAAAAGGGAATCATGACGTGTCACACATGGCATGTGTCCTTAAGGTGTCAAAATGCCTGCTTCCCTTTTAAAAAGTGTCACTTGTTAAAATGGAAGTATTGTTGCTCACTATATCCTCATGAATTATTGCTTTTTATTATTTGTGGTTATAACCGCTATACACTTTAACCATAGTTTGTAGCCTGGAAACACACACCAACTAACTTACATGTAATAATACAATATCTGTCTATGTGTCTATATAAATAAATGTAGTTTGAATACTAATTGTATTGCATTCTGATTGTATATTATTGTATATTATTTTTACATGTGTTTCATTTCAAAAATGAGTCTGAATTTTTTTTTTTTTTTTTTTAAATCAGTTGACATTAGAAGTGGTATAAATTATGAATACAGAGCTTGCAGTATTTGTTGAAAAAAGGGGTTATGCTGAGTAGTGGTTTTAATGCCAGGAATACTCCGGCACTTTTTCCGGTAAGGGGGCAAACTATTTTGCAACAGTTTGCCTCTTATTTACATCCCGCTGGGTACCAAAATTCACAATGCCAATCGAAAAGCTTCCGGCTTCTACCAAGCTGTGTAAGTCAGATGCCTTTGGACTACATCTCCCATAATGCTCTTACAACCATAATGCTGGCAAAGCATCAAAGGAGATGTAGTCCACAACATCCGGAGGGCCGAAGGTTCCCCATCCCTGTTCTAAAGGCTCACAAAACATTACAGGAGTTGTAGTTCTACTACATCTGGGGATCTACCTTTTGGGCACCCCTCATTTAAGGTTTTGCAATGACCTTCAGAGTCCTGAGTATTATTTAAAATCTCTGGGTTGATCTCAAACATACAGTGCACGAAAGAGAACCTGAGGATATTTCAGAACTAAAAGTATTTAATACCCAACCGACAAGAAGAATCTTGGGATGCTGCAAGAACAGTTTGGAGGCAGTGATTAATGCAAAATATACTTTTACTAAATAATGACTGACTAGAATGCCCAAATGTTTTCGAAAGTTACATTTACTGTTTTATTTTCTTCAGTCACTTACATTTATCATCTAAACCAGGTATTTTTTTTCAAACTCTGGCCCTCCAAATGTTGCTAAACTACAACTCCCATGATTCTCTGGGTATCTATTTCATTCAAAGAAACATGGAAGTTGTAGTTCAACAAGATCTGGAGGACCAGACTTTGGAGACACCTGATCTTAACAATAACTGTACAATAAAATATACAGAAATGTGTAGAGTTTAAGTGGCTTCACTGAAGAGGAGATGCAGATGTCTTTTGACTTAGAAAATCAACAAGATATTTGCTCACAGGTGCCCAAACCTTTTTCATATAATTATAACATTTAAACCTCCAGACATTTCACAAGGGGATAAATAGGAGCAAGGAACTCTGAACTGAGCTAAAAATCACAGAGCAGTGATACTGCAATACAGTGTGCTGAACACTAGATGTCACTCTAACGAGTGGCTTAGGTTGTAGTGCACCTCTCTTAAAACAATTGGAAGTTGTTGGCTGAAAGGGGTGGGGAGACACCATTTTGCATTCTTAACAGTCTGTGTGAGGGAGTAGGAACTGTTTGTTCCATGCTCTGTGTAATGAGGGATAGTCTGCAGTGGGAGAAGCTGCATTATCCAGTCTGTGTAATGAGGGATAGTCTGCAGTGGGGGATCCAGTCTGTGTAATGAGGGATAGTCTGCAGGATCCAGTCTGTGTAATGAGGGATAGTCTGCAGTGGGGGAGCTGCATTATCCAGTCTGTGTAATGAGGGATAGTCTGCAGTGGGAGAAGCTGCATTATCCAGTCTGTGTAATGAGGGATAGTCTGCAGTGGGAGAAGCTGCATTATCCAGTCTGTGTATGAGGGTTAGTCTGCAGTGGGGGATCCAGTCTGTGTAATGAGGGATAGTCTGCAGTGGGAGAAGCTGCATTATCCAGTCTGTGTAATGAGGGATAGTCTGCAGTGGGAGAAGCTGGATTATCCAGTCTGTGTAATGAGGGATAGTCTGCAGTGGGAGAAGCTGCATTATCCAGTCTGTGTAATGAGGGATAGTCTGCAGTGGGAGAAGCTGGATTATCCAGTCTGTGTAATGAGGGATAGTCTGCAGTGGGGGAAGCTGCATTATCCAGTCTGTGTAATGAGGGATAGTCTGCAGTGGGAGAAGCTGGATTATCCAGTCTGTGTAATGAGGGATAGTCTGCAGTGGGGGGAGCTGCAGGATCTGTGTAATGAGGGATAGTCTGCAGTGGGGGAGCTGCATTATCCAGTCTGTGTAATGAGGGATAGTCTGCAGTGGGGGAAGCTGCATGATCCAGTCTGTGTAATGAGGGATAGTCTGCAGTGGGAGAAGCTGCATTATCCAGTCCGTGTAATGAGGGATAGTCTGCAGTGAAGGGAGCTGCATGATCCAGTCTGTGTAATGAGGGATAGTCTGCAGTGGGGGAAGCTGCATGATCCAGTCTGTGTAATGAGGGATAGTCTGTGTAATGAAGGATAGTCTGCAGTGGGGGATTCAGTCTGTGTAATGAGGGATAGTCTGCAGTGGGGGATTCAGTCTGTGTAATGCGGGATAGTCTGCAGTGGGGGAAGCTGCAGGATCCAGTCTGTGTAATGAGGGATAGTCTGCAGTGGGGGAAGCTGCATTATCTGTGTAATGAGGGATAGTCTGCAGTGGGAGAAGCTGCATTATCCAGTCTGTGTAATGAGGGATAGTCTGCAGTGGGAGAAGCTGCATTATCCAGTCTGTGTAATGAGGGATAGTCTGCAGTGGGGGAAGCTGCCCCTGGTGGGGAAGGGAGGGGGGGATGTTGAGTGGATAACTACACAATCCAGTTGGAAAATTTTCAAACAAACGTAAAATTTGCAGCTTATAAAAATTCAATTATGATGAGGGAGAGATACATATAGTGATTTAAAATTGAAGTTTACCTAATTATTCCCAAAAATGAATACTCGCATAGAATAATAATTTCTCTGTTAAGACTTTTTGGATCATGTGTAATCTTTCCCTTAGGAGTTCATACTGAAATGATCGCTTAATATGCTATTAACTCATGCCATTTTTATGGTCTGTACTATAACTGGTTTTAGTTTTTCCCAATATATGTTGCATTCTTATGAGGTGAGCTAAAGGCTTGTTTTTTTTTTTTAAGTATTAAATATTCCTTCCAAAAAAGACCGCATACTATATAGCACACATGCAAGTAGGAAACAAACCACTCACACATACGTGTAGAACAACCACTGCTCCACAGTAGAAACTAAACTACACAATAAAATTAAGTTAATTTAGTGAGTGGCTTCCCGAATGAGAAACTATTGAATATATTGCCACAAAGTAGTGTCCCTACTTGCAGTGGCTGAATTACTTAAAATACTACATTACAGTATTCCTTATAGTGTATATATCTTATAGTACTAATTATTCATGTTGGCACTCATTAATGTACACTATTCAGAGTTAGTGTTACCAGTAGTGCACAATGTTTCAGAGTAACAAACCCTCACCGCATTGTGTGGTATATAGACGGTTATTAAACACACATAGGGTAGCAGAGTTCCTAGTAATGTTTTGTGCACAGGGGTATTATAGATGCTTCAGTAATGTGTAGGGTAGCAGAGATCCCACTAATTTGCAGTTTGTGTAAGGATATTACATAGCAATCAGTGTTCTGCAATTTTATATGGGGTGGTAAAGACGGTAGTAATGGGTAAAGTATAGGAGTATTGTGTTGAGCTCTCCTGTAACGTGCATATTGTTTTGTGTAACACAATCTTCATTAAAGTAACACAGCCAGCACCATGGCTTAAAAGGTTAATCTATATGGTGCTCCTCAAAATGTATATAGTTTAAACAAATGTGAATACTAAATACCAAACCATAGAAGTGGCACGCACCAAATGATAATTCATTTTTTATGAATAGTTGTGCCTTTTGTTTGGTGAGAGGAACTCATAGGTAAATTTTGTTTGCGGTTTGACAGTGTAGTCTTGGATGGTTGTGCTCGTCTTTATAGAGCAAGGTGTCTTCTGCCAGAGAATTCTAAAGAAGGTCGTAATAAATTGAGTCAAATTCTGCTACTCTTAAGCTATTTTGACATTTATTCAGATACTTGCTCAAAAGAATTTCAACAAGAACATGTATTTATGTACATATGCTAACAGCCTCATGGTAGGCCAAAACCAAAAACGTATGCACTGTCTCAAAATGCAAAATTCTCTGTGATAGCCTAACAGTTCAGGCTGTGATAGTCAGCAAAGCAGTTGCGTGTCTTTGTGTAACAAAGGTGCACATTACATGTGTTGCAGAGGCTTTCTGTGCGATTTTTTTTTTTTCATTCCCATGTTTGGCACATTGAGCACATCGTTTGCGTCTTTTGCTTCTAATCATGGAATGTTTCGGCTTTGGTGCGGCAAGGACAGTTCATGAACTTCTGACTGGCGCTGACTGAGCTTTTCTTTGTCTTTTGGGGTATCTACCCACCAGACTCCTTGCTATCATCTGCAGATATTACAGTGGTTTAATCGCTTTGTACTCTGGGTGCCTCTCTTCATTTGCTTGTATATAAATGCAGTGACTGTTTACAGCAATATTTAGGTCAACGAAAATCCTCAAATAAAACTTTATTTTTGAAGTCCGGTCTGTCTCATAGGACACTTCTGATCCATCAAGTACACACCCCCCATGTACTTGTAAATAGTAACAATGCTCTATGATCACTTCCTGGGTTAACACTCAACAGCTTCAAGCAAGAACCTCTGATCTTCGTCAGCGAGAGTGAGGTAGTCTTTATCACTGTGGTCGGCAAACAGCCGTTGTATATCCTCTTCACGTATTGTAAACAAGCGTTCACACCGTACCATCGTGTTTGAGGCCTTGCTAAGAACAGATGAACAATAGCGAATAAAATGGGTTACAACAGTGACTCTGCCACTTCATGTAGCTGAAGTGAGTGCTTTCCTTTACATGTCCTGATGTACTGCTGTAATTAGATAATACTTGTGTAATAAAAATGTCTCCTGTACAGCACACTTCCATCATACAGCAAATAGGACAGCACTGTCCAGCAAACATACCTTTCTCACTGATTGCTGACTGACTACAGTTATACAGAATTTCTTTGTGCTGCGTCTCCTCACTCCCCCCTCCCTTCTCAAATTGTTACAGAAGGGAGTGTAGCACATTATCTTGTCCCACCTATTCTGTACAAATTATCTTTTACTTTCTAGCACTGCTATTGCATAGCATTAGCTGTATGCCTGTGTACATCTAGTGTCTTGCTGAATGACAGTTTTATCAGTTGCTGTTGTTCCAAGAGGTAAAACTGTACAGTAACTGTAAAACTGCTTTTTATCGACGGTTCCTAAGGTTCCACAGAGCTCAGATAAAGCACAGGCTGAATGACTTCTATACCTGTCCAAAGTTATTTGATAAACCACTCTGCATAGTGTCCCAGAGCAAAAAATGTCAGCCAAATTGGTTCAAATGATAAAATCTCTCAAAAAAAATTTGTCAAACACAAGTCTATCAACAAATATCAGATGATCCAATAACATCTGACTATTTAGGTCACTTTTTATGGAACGCCAAAAGCAGAATTTTTTTTTTTTAAGTTTGTACACTTCAGTTGCTGTAACTAAGCCATTTCATGAAATAACTGGCAAAAAGCTAGATCTATTTGTTATGAACTAATATTTTGACTCAAACCAAAAAAAGTATTAAGTTCTTAATCAAATGATACAGGCAATTTAAAAACATGGGACAAATACATCCCTTGGTCCTCAAAGGGTTAAGTGGTATTGTCATCTGTGAGGTTTTTTTGGTACGATAGGTCCTTTTTAACGGTAAACACATTCAAGAGAGATTCACTAGGGGGGTGGGTCGGGCCGACTGGACGCCATCCTCGTGGGCTCCAGCAGTAAACAGTCTGAAATTGCACTAAATACGGCCCAAAAACGCTCAATACTGACTACCTCGCCAACCCTGAGCTGGGGAGGGCTCTGGCACCCACCCAATGCCCGCATGTAACCTACCGTGTAGTGGGCGGGTGGAGAGGACAGTCTGGCCTACACGCGGCCTCTGAGCACCGGCCGCCACTACCAGCAGCATGACACCGAGAAATGGCGCAACACAGAGGCATTCCTGGTGTGGGGAGAACTTCAGCCCGGGGCACAGCACAATCTCTCCCCCTCCCCCCCCCGCCCTCCTGGCCGGCGGGGGATATCCCAGCCACATGGTGGCGACAGGTGCCGCAGTGGGAGCGCCCCGCGGATGCGCCATACCGACTCCCTTAACTGGCAATGACAAAGTGATGTCCAGCCAGCTGTAAAGGACATTGCTGATAAACAGTAAGCCAGCAGACATTGATGCAGACAAGGAGGGGAAGGAGAACCTTTATGGGGAGACACCCCGATCCTGATGAGGCAGAGACTGCCGGAAAAAACAGCCCGCCGACAGCACGGAGATCGCCTCCTCAAATGATAGCAAAACAAGTGATGCAGCAGAACATATTAGGGAGGACTGACATGGACAGCTCGGGCAGGCCCTGATGGTACAGAGCGCTGAGCATGTCCCCGCGGCCGTAAGCCCTGTGAGGCGGGAGTGCGCGGACCTACCGGCGGACCAGTGGCCGAAGGGACTGTGTACCAGCTTTAAGTGTGAGGCCGGCAGTGGGAGAGACATAGGGGTGCATACACCATACATATAAGATACTATTAACCTTGCTTTTATGTGGTTGAGAGGTTTAACACGGATTCTGCCTATTTCCACACTTTTACATGGCAGCGCAGAATACAGCTCTACCTGCAATTAGTGCTCCCTTATATGCTGTCGTTTTTCAGAACATATAGGGCAGAAGACTTCTTGGTTTCAGAGCTTCAAGCCACAGAAGAGGAAAAAAGCAAACTGGAATCTGACCTAGCTAATGGTGAAGAACCAATGGACCAAGACTTATCTGACGTTCCTACCAAATGTGTCTCCACAACAGAACTGATGGAAATCAAAGCACGAGTGACGTACATCGACTACGAGGGTCGCTCTGATGGCGACTCAATCAAAAAGATTATTAACCAGATGAAGCCCCGCCTGCTGGTTATTGTACATGGACTGCCCGATGCCAGCCAAGATCTGGCTGAGGCGTGCAGAGCATTTGGAGGCAAAGACATAAAAGTGCACACCCCAAAACTGCATGAAACAGTGGATGCCACAAGTGAGACTCACATATACCAGGTTTGACTGAAGGACTCTAGTCAGCTCTCAAGTTCTGCAAAGGACACTGAATTAGCGTGGATTAATGGCGTTCTGGACATGCGGGTGTCTAAGGTGGACACAGGTGTCATCCTGGAGGAAGGAGAGTTGAAGGATGACGGAGAGGACTCAGAAATGCAAGTGGACCCTCGTGGATCAGATGCCAATATCATTTCTCACCAGAAATTGATAAAGAGCCTCTTTGGCGATGATGACAAAGACTTCACCGAGGAAACTGAGATCATGCCGACTCTTGAGCCATTACCAAGTAATGAGGTCCCAGGACATCAGTCTGTCTTTATGAATGAACCACAGCTTTCTGATTTTAAGCAAGTTCTCCTGTGGGAGGGGATTCAGGCTGTTTGGTGGCGTGGTTATCTGCAACAATATGGTGGCTGTTCGGAGGACTGAAACTGGATGGATTGGCTTAGAGGGATGTCTTTGTGAAGACTTTTTTTAGTATAAGAACTTTTATACGAGCAATATGCCATTGTATATAGACTGTATCAAGAAGGAGGCCTACATTTGAGACCTTCCACGTTGGGGAACTTCACTTTTTTAATATTTTTATAGTTGTAAATGCAAGTGAAGGCATCTTCTTGTGTCAGACAATTGAATGTCAAGTGAAGTCAAATGGCATTTTGTATCTCGTGTTATGGAAACAAAAAAATAGAATTTTTCTTTTTTAAAAGCATTTTGCCTTTAAGGGTCTGACTGAATATAAAACAGAGACACTGTACTTGTTTTCTTTTTGAACATAGTTTTATAATGTTCTCAAAAACTCAATTGCCTGTCTTTTTTAAAAACATTCTAAAAAAAAATAAAATAAAAAAAAAAGCAAATCAGGTGGATAGGTGAGGCAAAAACACACAGTATGCGGGCAAGAAGACACTGCTAACTTCCAATGAATATAAACAACAAACACTGTTAAAGGTAAACCGATTACTAGATACAGGGCGCCAACGTCAATGTGTATAGAATATCCTGGCTTGTCTCAAATGTATTAATTCAGGACAATTATAGCCAGAAGACCAAGATAAAAATTAGTATTTGATCATAAAGTGCAAAACATACAAGAAACATAAATGCAGCCTAAATGGCTAAAAACAGACCCTTATGGTAAGCAGCTGATGGTTATATAAAGTGCAATGTGCAAATCGGGGAAAAGAGTGGCCAATCCGCCACTGATGTTCACTATCCCTTTGCATCAAGGTTTAGAGGCACAATTGATTATGCA